GCTGTGGCAATCGAGCTAGAGTAGGTTTTGAGCCATGGTTTATTTGTGGCACTGTTATTCTGTTCTTGAGTCACCACTATGTACATTTGTTAGCATGAGTGATGTACCTAATGTGTTATTTTTAATCTAAATTTCAATTAAAATGTGAGTTTTCAAACTTTAACAGGAGTCTGACTACCTTAATTCAAACATATTGGACAAGTTGAGCCACAGCAAGGTAGCTGTAATTGTAGCTTTAATAGCATTTAAGATCCCAGCCCACTGATAGTGTTAAGTGTTTCAGACTGCCATCTGACTTCAACAATTATTACCACTTACTGATCAAAAAGTATGTGATCTGAAAGTGTAGCTACGTGTTATACAATACAGTTGCATTAAAGAGACTTCCTAATTGAATATATGTCTGACAAATGTTTTTCATTTTGCAACTAAAGCACTGCAGTTCCTTTCTCATGAAAAGGGGTAGCAAAGGTTGTGAACAAATACTGCTTAATCACACAGACTTTTAAAATGGCGTTTGCCACAATGTGCCTTACCTCCCTCCTGTAACTTGACAAACAGTAGCGAGGCTGCATACTGTTCTCTAAGCAAATTTAAGGCAAAACTAGGAGTAAGGCTTTCAGCAGTTTAAAGAAAAGCGAGGATGTCACTTTTGTCTCATAGTTGCCATGGTCCATTTCTGTTACATTTACATATAATTAATTGCATTTAGTTAAATTACACTTCTAACAGTTTTTAAACTTCCAAGAAGTAACTCTTGGTTAAAACTTGGAACACTGAGAAACCTACAGTCCAGAAGAAGTTAAGGGACAGGTGCCACTCAATGCACCACCACAGTAGTCATCCTTATGGATTTCAAAGCAGGTATAGATACAGCAGTTTTTCTACAAATATAAAATACTGCCGAAAGAAATTACAAAGTACTGATTTGTATAGCTAAAAATATTACCTCCCTTTCTCAGTACAGTTAATGGAGCTGGCAATAGCAGAGTTCAAATCTCTCACTATGTGAATTGTTACAGATTTCTGTGTTCTAGTAACTTCTTCCTCAAGCTCCAGCAGGTTTAGAATGGTGACGCAATGAGAAAGTGAATGTGCATTATTAATATCAGAGGGACAGGAATATAAAGATGATGTCTTGCTCCTGTGATTCACTGAAAGCTTGTTTTCAAATAGTTCCTATTTGATTTGTGGTATCTTCGTATCAGTGAAATTCTGAGAGCACAGGAATCAGTGTCCCTAACCAGCTTTAGGTATTCCTCAGATGCAGTGGGATCAGTAATTTCGTCTAGCTGAGAAAGGTAAAGAAAAAATAATTCCAAATTTAATCACATTATTCTGACCACTTCCAACTGCTCTCTTACCTTGGACAAAAAGTATCACCCCACTGCCCAATCCAGCATATCCACTTTTTTTCTCTAAAACATCAAAAATACATACATAGCAAAGACAACACCCCTGCACTGCAAAACGGCAACGCGTGCTTTGGCATGTGTGTGATGACTACGGCTCAGACGATATGTGCTTGTTTAATGAAGCTATAAACATCATAAAATCTACTTGCAGCACTGTCAGCTGCAACAGTGGCAGAGCAGCTGATGCCGCAGAGGCATCAGTGGTCAGAGGCAGCTGGTTTTAAAATGTCCTGTGCTCCAGCCAGCAGATCCTACCCAGCTCTGCCTGGATGCAGCTGCACAGCAGGAAAGCTGGGTGAACAGTCACAAGTAACCAGATTCTCCGGCAGGCTGTGTTCTCCAGGCCTGCGGCGGCCCTGTTCCAAGCACACGGCCAACTACTAACACAACCTCCAACTTTACCACCAAAAATCAGCCTCTGAAATTTCCCATCTCGCCAGGTGAAAGTTTCCCTTCCTCAGCCACGGGTACAAAGAAGTAACACCTGGTCTTCTCAACGCTTTGTATAGCAGCTCCTCAGTGTTGAAGTGTTCTCCTTCACCTCAGAGCAGTGTAACAGCAACGTGTACCAATGCAATGCAGCAGGACAGTACATTTTATATATACACACATTACTTAGTCACATCACAGCACCAAGTGTATTGACAGATGGTAAAACAAACAAATTTAAAGCACTGTTGTTTGTTGTAATCACTATCCATTCATCCAACACAAATAAACGAGCTGCATATGCTTCCATTAAACAGCTGGACAAGTCATTTCTTTTTTCCCAGAACAAAATGTATGGCAGCATGATCCACAAGCCATACTTCCCATCAACACTTTTTTTCTTCCCCTCAGAAGTGCGTGACGTGGTATCTAGTTTAATCTGAGCGTGAAGTTAAACTAGTATTCTGCTGCTGAGGTAGGAAATCTGCACCACTTCTTTTGTAAGTCTTCCTGATTCTTCTACTGATGAGAATAAAAGCTACTTGCAGACATAAAATGAATTTGTAGGAAAAAAAGTACAAACTAATTCTTACACATTTTAATGTAACTGAGTGAAACCTAACACATTTTTTTTAATTATCTGATCCACTGTGCCTTACTACCGACTCATAACCAGAATGCTCTAGGTGCATGACGGGATCATGCTGCACAATTGTGCTTACCACTTACAAGAAAGTACAAAAACTGTTCCTATAGTCTGCTGCTACTGCCATCCTAGATCTGTAAATTACAAAGAAATAGATCAAGTTGATGAAGAATTTCACTACTAAATGATGCACGCATGTGCAAGTGTCTTCAAAAACTCACGTCTGCTATCTCCCAAAATAATCCCGACTGTACGTCAGAGCACTGTTCTCTGTATTGTGTGTTTGCAAACATAACTACATCACAGTGGTCTAGATGAAGTCGTTTTGCTCTTCAAAGAAAACCCAGTAATAAATTCAGTACTGGAAAGCAGGTGTTACAGATGATATTATATGGAAAAAAAAAAAAATCAAGACTCTGATAGCGCCTAAAAAGAAAAGAAAAAGCAAGACACAGCAGTGATACAGAAATGTCAATGCACAGGCAGCAGTTAGGAAAATAAATACTACAAAGCAATGCTGGTTTTGGTAACTTCATTTTACTTTCAATAGTGTTTTAGGATTCGCTTAATACCTGTAGAATTTCATTCAGTAATGACAGAACATGTTTAGATTTTAACCCTCGTGAGTTTCCCGCACAACAAAGTGGGCTGCAAGTCTTAAAGAATTTTCTTCGTAACAGTTGAGTAGACTAATTCTCAATACCCTAACGTATTATTTTGATAGTGGACATTTTGCTTCCCCATTTCAGCAGAATTATTTACAAAATATACAAACATCCCTCAGATAAATAAAACCAACTCCTAAATTACAGATCAATGACTACAGACATTCCAGTGTTTAAACTTCATACTTTGTATTCAATTTGCCACAATACTACAAAATGACAACTTAAGTGGGCGCCATACTCTGCTTAATTAATAAAGAGACTGTAAAATCTAGTTTTCGTTAGGTATAAAATATTTTAACAAATATCAGCCTTCTGTTGTCAAAGCTAAATTCAAACTTCTCCCTCCCTTTTGGGCAGCAAAGTGTCAGAGATTTCTGGTTTAGACAATTCACGTGTAACTGAACCTTGAATTTCACTTAGGAGGTTTAAATCCATACATTCAACCCATGACATTACAAATCAATGCTCCCTACACAGCGAACATTAAATATGTTTTCTCAAAGAGCCTTTAAACATTTGGGAAAAAAATCTACCTGCCAAATTCAGGTTTTATTCCTAATGGTTTTTTTCCATAATGTATTCTGGTAATGCATGTTATTATGCAATCTTCAACTTAAGTTAAATTGCAAGGATGATGTCCCTGGGATTCCTAGCCAAGAGATATCAACAGAATTGCTTAAATTTAGATTTAAAAGTAATTCATAGTAGAGTTCCTAGATAAAACCCTCAAGTTAAGTTTAAAAGATTATGAAAAGAACAATCTTCATATACAGCTGCTAGAAGCATAGTGCCTGATCTCAATAGAAAAAGGTGGTTGTTACCTGGAAAACTGTTAATAACATTCCACACAAATTTAAGTTCAATGCTAGCAAGTCCACTAGTATGAAATTTTAGAGCCCCTACTACACAGAATATTTGAATTGCCTTTAAGTTTATAATGCAGAGAACATTTAGAAGCAAGTATATTCATTAATATGAACTTAAGCATAGGTGAAACTATGACATTTATCCAAATTAAAGTTGGATTTGAAGAAATTAGTAAAAGAAAGAAGACTAATAGGGACTTCATGCTAACAGTACCACACTGATCCAGAGATTAAGCTAGGGGTTTTATTTTTTGTAATGCTCTTCTGTTATTATGAATACAGTGTAGTGAAAAAGCATCCATGAAAGTCAGTCCACATTCAGAACATGGAGGGGCCTCAGAATTTTATGCTGTCCTAGTAAAGGTGATTCATCTTAAGAGCTGAATTCATTTCAGCCACAGTGTATACTTACACAAGTTGTGGGATGTGGCCCTTCCTGGTTTTATCTTCTAATAACAGAGTTTGAAAAAACAGCCCAAATATTGTGCATAAGACTCATGAGGCAATCCAAGAATATAAGTAGTCTTCAAAGGAGAGAAACATGACCTTATACTAAGACCTGATTATATTCGAGAATATTACGATGGTATGTACCATTACAGATTGTTCAGTTCCACAGCACCAATTTAACCTCTTAGGCCTCCAGTTCAATGAGTTAAAATTTAACTTTGTTAAAAATGAAGATTTCTCACTTTTCCAACTCAAAATATTTTAAAAGCTTTTTCTCCCAAACTTAAATCACATCACAGAGATGGCTGAGTTAATGTTAGAAGGAATTCAAGTATCTGTTAAATGCCATTGTTTAAAAAGCTTGGGTTTAAACAATATTCCTGTTAGAAAATTAAATACTGTATATTTAAGTTTGTGGACAGCAGTAAACAGAGTGGCTGATTAGGCTAGAGATTTAGTACCACTGTTAAACACAAATCTACACTTAAAAAAAACCTAAACACAAACCCCCAAAAATCCCAAATACAACAAAAATACCACTGCACATAGAAGAGGGAAGGGCGCCAAGAAACTAGTGTTGTAAAAGTCAATATTGGTTTCTTTTCCAGCAAGTTATCATCCCAAGACATGAATACTGAAATTAAAAATAGCAAATATATAATCATTTAGCTCTGTGATTGAAACCATCAGTTAACTTCCTTAAACTGTACACTGCATTACACATTCTATTACAGAGAATGTTTATGCACCATAGTCATTTCTCACAGGTAAAGAATACTCCATGAAAATAGCTACAAACAAACGCTATAAAGTGGCACAGGTAAATTCTGGACCAAAACACTATTTAAACAAGATCAGATAACTCAACAGTATTCATGCAAACTTACAGGTTTATATCAAAAGACTTATCCTAAAAAAACCCCAAGAAAAGAATTTATAATATCTACCCTACTTGTATTTGACCTCCAGCAGCTGCTGAAATTGCAAAAGCAGTAGCCAAACCTAACTTTCTGCATCTGTCAGTCTACCCCACTTCTTAGAGTAGAAATAGGGAAAACAGTTCTTACGAAGAAAAATAATTGATCCAAAGTGCTTTCCTGAAGTTAAAAAAAAAAAACCAAAACAAAATGGAGTGAACCACTAAAAAACCTTCCAAATTCTTAATACATTTATTTGATCATTATATACCACAATTGATTCTCAGGCCAACTGTTGAAATTATTTATCCTCCACAAAATATGGAAGGCTTTGTATTCTACAATGCAACATCTTAAAGAAGGGCAAAGAATGGTTATCTTTTTAAAATAAATAAATTTATAATAAGATAAACCAAACATTTCCCATTTTACCCATGCACAGCTGCAGAAGAGACAAACATGCTGTGTGAATTTTGATCTAGGCTTTTAGGGAATATAATAAGTGACTGGAAAAGTACAGTCGAAGAGAACCGTGAAGACTTCTTATGTTTCCCTAGATTC